GCGTGTATACGTGTATGAGGTGTGTGTGTGTGTATTTATATGTGAATATACATCAATCACATAGTACATACAGTTAGGCGATGACTTTGTCTCGTAACTGCTTTTCTTTTCATTTATACACAGCGTGCAGCAACAACATGACCAATGGTGTTGTGCAGCAGCCAGGTTGTGCGAAGGCGATTTTCGACTTGCTATACCATTTATTTAAATATTACCATTTGTGGAGCGATGATGGTAATCATCAAAACCTAAAGATATGACATTTTAGTGCCGGTATTTCGGTCGAGTTCATTTACAAGGTGGTAAGTGGTAATATAACGTAATAATCACATCATCAGATCTTGTTTTTTAAAGCCTATTGTATATATATCACGCATAAATATCATTTAAATATCCGCTATGTACCGTGTTCCCCTTAGTATGAGAATTTGTTAATGTATGTCTGTTCATGCATGTAAATGAAATGTATATTTGTACACACACGCACTTGGATTAATTCTGCTGGCATTTGTAGTAAATTTCAACGACAATATCTCACACTTCTCTAGGCCAATAGACCTAATTCAACAACTCTATGTTGAACGACTAAACCAGCAATAGGCACAGTAATGCGGCTACAGGCAAGTACACTAGCACACAGTAGGAGACTCACAAACGGTGGATGGATGAATAAACTATTCCAATTAAATTCGTTCCAGAAGAAACACCTAGAGAGTTACCTACACAAGGGCTTGTTAGGACATAGGCAAAGCACAAATATGCACACAGCTACACTGCCGGAACGGCATACGTTGTTCGCTTCTGCGGCGACCGTGTTTGGGGTAGGAGATATACACAGCTGGATGGGAGAAAGAGTATCACCTGCCGATCGGATCGACTTTGAGGTAGTTTAGGCCTCTGTGTGTATAGATTATATTGATTTTTCAGCACTGCGTGCACCAAGGCAGCAATCACTATATATATATATATATATATATATATATATATATATATNTATATATGTGTGTGTATATATATATATATCTCTCTATATATACTA